TGTTTCTCATGACCATTTGGATATGGGGGTGTTTGGGGTCACTGAATATATTGGTCCAAATCGCCAATGCCTCTTGGTACAAGGCAAGTGCATCGCCCAGGCGTCCTTGGTCACTTGCCACCAGGCCTATGTTGTTGAGTGTCGAGGCAACATCGGGATGTTCGCGGGTGCCATAGACCTTGGTGGTGGTCAGCATGGCTGGGACTGGTGAAGAGCAGAACGAAGGAGCAACCCAAACCAAGAGGGAATCACCATCCACCCATCCACTCACCCACCCGGGAATGCCCGAGCTGCTCCGGATTCGAGCGGTGGTCACCACGTGACCATGTGCCATGAAACGCTTTCCTCTGTCCGAGGTGGTCGTTCTCGCCTGCCCCCCAAGCCTTGCAGCCACCGAGAGCGCCCGCTTTCCCCGTCATCTCCCCGTCGTTCCATCCCTTCGCCACCGCTCATAAATGGCTTGTGAAGCGTCTACCTTTGACGATATCGTCGCTCGTGGTTGTCGAGTCGTCGACCCAAGTGATATCGTGTCCGTCGAACCACTTCAGAACTTCCTCATGATGAGGGACAACATTCAGGTTCGCTTGGCTTTCTTCGATCGTAAGATTGTTGTCGTCAAGAAATATCGCCGCCTTCCTGATGAGGATTCTGGAGAATATCCACTCCACTTCCTCTGGGACGTTGGTACTTGGTCCAGCCTCCACCACTTCAACATCCTCCCCCTTCTCGGCATCTCCCGTCTCGACGACGGGTTCTGGGTTGCCCTGAGTCCCTTCCAACCAAAAGGCAACCTCTCTACCTATATCCGAAAGAAACCCCCAGTCTCCATGGAAACCAAAGTTCTCTGGATGAAGGAGATAGCTACTGGCCTGCGCTATCTCCACGAAAAGCGAGTCGTCCATGGTGACTTGAAACCCGACCATATCCTGGTCGACTCTCGCCTCCACCTCCACCTCTGTGATTTTGCCTCTTCGCTCAGCTTCCCCCCCAATGTGAGCAGCGTCAAAGGGCTCCCGCTTCCAGCTGTGCATGGTCGATATGGCACTGCTTTCTATATGGCCCCCGAGCAAGTTCACGCCAATCATCCTGTCCAGCCCAACAGAAGCACAGACGTCTTTGCCTTTGCTGTCTGCGCCTGTGAAATCCTCGCAGACATGGGTAATGTCTGGGGCGAAGAATCCCCTGGTAAAGATGTCTATGAAGAGCGTCGCAATTTTTTCGCTCAAGGTAGGACTGCTACCATCCATCGAGACGCCCCGCCCTCCCTCGGGGCCATGTTGACCAAATGCCTCCAACATGAGCCCCAAAAGCGCCTCGCCATCAAGGACATCGTCAAGATGCTCGAAAGTCTCCACAAGAGGCTCAAGGCATCCGCTGCACAAAAAAAGCGGCTCGAACGCAAGGCCATGGATACTCAGCGTGGTGTCTTCAAGCCCCTCACCCAAGCAGTCCAAAACGATGGTGATGCTGATTTGTTGGCATTGTTCGATGGTATTTCAGCTGGCAGTAGCAGTGACGACGACGCTTGAATGCAGTTTTTGTTCAATATACCCCTCAGTCCATGCAGTAGCCAGTGCCCTTGGTCCCACACATTTGATTTTTTCTGTGTGCATCCACCAGCAACGATGAGTTTCCACAGGCGATATAGCAACGACCCCGCCACCACAACCACGTCCAGCGACGACATCAACGACAGTGTCGATATTGGCATGGACTCTTCCAGCGGCGACAGTAGCTTCAGTACCAGCTATGATGAACCAATGAAATGGGAAGTCGCTCCTCTCCCCCCTCTGCGAAAGCGATCTTCGTCGATCGTGGAACAGCCCGGGTTCAAGCGGTCCAGGAACAGCGAACCTCAGCCAGAGACCAACGACGAGTCAGAGCAGTGGATGGACCGGGGGTATCCAGTGGTCGAAGAAGATACCACAATGGCCATGTATTATCCCATCAAGAAGGCCAGTACGAGCAGCGAACGCCATATGCCTTGGGAATTCGATGACATCCCAGGCCCGAGGAAGCGACCCGGTTTTGAGGAGCCACCTATCTCCAAGCGACCCCGCCGAACTGGTGAATTTGCTGGATATGTCAACCAGCGCAAGCGAGGCAGGGACGAGTACGACAATCTCCAGCGACCCAGCAAGCGACACCAGCAGACTGGGGATTTCATCGAGTTTGTGGGTCGAAGCAAGCGCGCTGCTGACGACATCGACGATTTTCCCCGCCCAACCAAGCGGAGTGCTTCTCGATTCTCAATCTTCTCTGAGTAAGCTGTCTCCCCGCCCCCCCATGACCCGGCTGACACAATCTCCGCCCTGCCAGATGACCCCCCCATTCTTCCGACACACCGCTCACGTCCAGTTCCCGATGCTGGCTTCGCATCGTCCTCAAAACCAGCCCGATTTCCTGCCGCCGTGAAGCATCGCCTCTCTCTGCAATCGATCGAACATGCCTCAAGACGACTTTATCTCCCTGTACTGGCCTCAACTACCCGCCGAGCTTCAGTGTCTGATCCTCGCCTACGTCTCCAGTGATCAGTTCACTGTAGATGCTCTTCTGCGCTCTGGATTCATGTTCAAATGCGGTGCTCCCCAGCGCCGCGAGCTGATCGTTGGCAGCATCAAGATGATCAGTGCAATCGAGCATCCCGGTGATCTCTTGGATTCCGCCGATGATACTGGCAACGAAGACGATCAAGAAGAAACGTTCAAACCGGACTGGACAGGGGACTACGATCGCCTCGAGCGAGATGACTACCCCCATTGTGCCACTCGAGCTGCTCTGATCAGCGCCCGGATCAACTACTACAAACGTTACTACTCGCGATACAGCCGTTATCGAACCAAGAAGGGTCGCTCGTCCTGTGTACCCCTCGAGCAGTGGTTCCCTACCAAGTGGATCTACCCCAAGCACGATGTATTCAGCGCCGTGACTACTCGGGTCTTTCGTATCTACCGACACCTCTTTGCCGAGTATTCGCATGCTCGCGATGTTGACAAGCTCCATGCTCTCCAGCGCAGCGTTGCATACTTCGAGGGTCGTCGATACAAGTATGGGGAAGGTGGTTATGGCCGAGACTCACGGCTCGCCATCGCTTCATTCAAGAAGGGTGCGCATTTCGGAAGCGCCTTCTGCAAGTACGAGCTGATCAAGTATCAAGCCGAGTACGATCAGAGTGCCATTCCCAAAGAGCTCGACCTCTTCTTCCGCCAACTACTGGCCGACCCAGATATGACTATTCAACATGAAATCGTGCCTGACGGGATACTCCAGGAATATGCGCTTATCCCCGCAGTCGCTTGCCAGCTTGCCAAATACCACTTCACAAACCGAACATCGATCGTCAACCTGGCTCGCTATACACTGAGTCTCTTCTACGATTTGAACCCGGTGCCTGGACCCGAGCACGACTGGTACATCTGTCGCACCGAGGGGCATTCCCCAAATGTGTGGTACTACGACTGTAGGAGATGGTATCTCCGACGCTGTGCTGCGCGTACTGCGCGTACTGCGCGGCGCAGTGGGTCGTGACCTGTGCTGCGCTTTGCGTTTTCACGCACCGCAGGCAGGCCACCGCAGGGTATACCTGCGGGTTGCCCCCGTTCCCCCCGTTTGTCTGGAGTTCGGTTTTATCGTGAATAAACGTAAGTGCTCCCCGAGCTCACCCGTCCGCTAGAGTAGCCTAGCACCGCCCTGTTCTGCCCCGTCCTGTCTTGTCTTGTACCCCCTCCCTCCCCGTCTTGCCCCAACGTCCCAGTAGTGGACGTTACATGGTAGCATCGGAAATCCTCGTCTTGTTTTCGTCCTGTTTGTCCTCTTTCTAGATCCTCAAGCTGGATCCCGCCTCTCTTGCCGACCGACTCTCCTCTCTGTCCCTGGAGCCTGCCCCTGCCATGAGCAACCCCCGCCCACTTCCGGAAGCCTTCCTCAAGACCTTCCGTGCCCCAGTGTTTACTGGGAAGAGCCGCTCCTCCTCGGTGGAGGACTGGCTGCAGCAACTCGAGGACTACCTCGATGCTGCCCAAGTCGCCCCCACCCACCACATCGTCGCCGCCAAGCTCTGCTTAAAGGACCAGGCGTACCGTTGGTACCGCCGCCAAGGGTTCGACGAGCAGAGCGAAGGTGTGTTTGACGACTTCAAGGACCGCCTCCGTCGCCGCTTCGGCAGCCCCAATGCTGAACTCATTGCCCGTGACAAGCTATACTCTCTCGTGCAGCGTGGTTCTGTGACCCGCTACATCGAGGAGTTTGAAGACCTCTCCTCCCAGATTGAGGAGCTGGGCTCTGCTGATGCGATGTACCTCTTCCAGAAGGGCCTCAAGCCCAAGATCAGAGAGTACATCGCCAGCAACCCTGATGCCCGCAAGTCCCTGGACGTGATGATGGACGTTGCCGAGAACCTCGACAACGTCCAGTACCATGGCCGCCAGTTCTACCCGCAGCTGGCAGGCGGCCATCGGTCTCATCACGTCCCAGCCCGTCCGCCTCGCCCGGCCCCGCCCGCAAGACCCATGCCTGAGCCCATGGACGTTGACGTCAACGCCATGGAGGCTCGTGGCCCTCCCCGCTCCCGGTTCCAGCAAGCTGCCACTGTCTCCCCCAAGGACAGACAGAAGCAGGAGGACCTCCGCCATGGTTCCTGCTTCTTCTGTCACCGACCGGGACACCAGGCCAAGGAGTGCCCCATGAAGTCGGGAAACGGCCGACCCTACTAGGTGGCTCTGGAGCCCTAGTAGGAGACCAACGCCGTGGATTGCTCAATGCAGTCCACGCGTCTCCAGAGGAAGTTCACCTCGCCCCCTCCCCCGAAGGAGAAACAAACCAAGTGTTGTGCGTCGTGCGAGAGGTGCATGGTGGCGCAAGCCGCCTGCCTCTCCACGAACGTGAAGAGAAAACCAAAATTGAAAACCAAAACAAAAAAGAAAATCAAGAACCCTTGAGGGACAGGACCGCCTGTGCCCTCACCCCTGTCAAGTCGTGTGTGTCGGATGCTTCCGACATGTGTCCGCAAGCCGTGGACGTCGTGTGCAATGGCGTGCTGACGCCGCAGGCCCCCGCAATGGCCGAACCCTATCCAAAATGTCCGAGTGGCCGTGATGAAGCCAACCAAGACCAAGTGTCGCCCGTTCCCCCAAGTCAAGTCATGGTGCAGGAGGCTGTGCAGGAGGACCATGAAGAGTCCCTGCTGTACCTCCCTGCCACCGTCCAAGGTCACACCGTCCGAATGATGGTGGACTCTGGAGCAAGCTGCAACTTTGTCAGCAGACGCTTGCTCCAGGAGCTCAACATACATGCAACCAAGAAGAAGTCGCCGATGAGTGTGGCGCTTGCAGACGATCGTGTGCAGCAGTGCACACACCAAGTGGTCCTGCGAGTGGCCCTCCATCCCAAGTACCATCCTGTCCTGTTGTTCCAAGTGATCGACACCAAGTTCGATGCCATCCTCGGCATGAGCTGGCTTGCTCGTGCCGAGCCGACTCCAGTCGTCGACTGGAAAGGCCGCACTGTCCGTGTTGGCCCTGACATTGTCCTGCAGGGCATGGCCTCACCCAACATGCCACCTCTCCTCTCAGCCATGCAATTCAAGAGGCTGATCAAGAAGGACACGTCGTTCCTCTGTGTCGTGCGTGAGGTCGACGACACCGACCAAGCCGGTCCCGGTCCCCCGCCTGTGGTGACCAAGCTGCTCGACGAGTACAAGGACGTATTCCCCGACCAGTTGCCACAATGCCTGCCACCCCAACGCACCGTCGATCATCGCATCGACATCGAACCAGGCTCGTCGCCTCCGTCAAGACCGACGTACCAACTGTCGCTGACGGAGATGGACGAACTCAAGCGCCAGTTGGATGACCTCCTCGCCCATGGGTTCATCCGCCCGAGCCAGTCACCGTATGGTGCACCAGTGCTCTTTGTCAAGAAGAAAGAAGGTGATCTCAGGATGTGCGTCGACTATCGCGCACTAAACAAACAGACCATCAAGAACACCTACCCGTTGCCCAGGATCGACGAGTTGATGGATCGTCTGAGTGGAGCAAAGGTCTTTAGCAAGATAGACCTCCGCTCAGGCTACCATCAGATCCGCATCCACGAGGATGATGTCCACAAGACCGCCTTCAGGACTCGCTACGGACTGTACGAGTTCCTAGTGCTGCCGTTCGGATTGACGAACGCACCTGCCACGTTCATGCAGCTGATGAACGATGTGTTCCGCCAAGAGCTCGACAACTCTGTCATCGTGTACCTGGATGATATCCTTGTGTACAGCAAGGATGAAGCGACCCATGAAGGTCATGTCGCCCGCGTGCTGGCCAAGCTACGCGAGCACAAGTTGTATGCCAAACTGTCCAAGTGTGAGTTCTTCAAGAATCAAGTCCCGTTCCTGGGACACGTTGTCTCAGGAAGAGGAATCGAAGTCGACCCCGCCAAGGTCAAGTCTGTGGTCGAGTGGCCGCCGCTCGCATGCGTCTCTGACGTGCAGTCGTTTCTCGGTCTCGTCAACTACTACCGCCGATTCATCCCCGATCTGGCGCGCACTGCCGGTCCACTCACAGACCTACTCCGCAAAGAGTGCCCCTTCGTGTGGGACCACCCACAACGCCAAGCGTTCGAGACCCTCAAGCACGCCTTGACGAACGCTCCTGTCCTCGCTGTGTTCGACCCGAACACGGATGTCTCCGTGCACACCGACGCCTCCGACTTTGCGGTGGGAGCTGTTTTGATGCAGGAGGGAAGGCCCGTTGCCTTCGAGTCGCGCAAACTGTCCCAACACGAGATCAACTATCCCGTGCACGAGAAGGAGCAGCTTGCGATCATCTACGCGCTGCAGAAGTTCCGAGTGTACCTCCACGGTACCGCCAAGCCCTTCAAGATTGTGACGGACCACCAGTCACTGCGTTACCTCGACACCAAGAAGAACCTGAGCCGACGCCAAGCGCGATGGATGGAGTTCCTCGCCGAGTACAACTACGAGGTTGTATACCAGAAAGGCAAACTCAATGTGGTGCCTGACGCACTGTCCCGACGCCCCGACTACCAATTGGCGTCACTGTACGAGTCGACTGTCAGTGTCGACAACACGATGCTGGATGTTGTCCGAGACAACATCGCCAACGACAAACAGTTCGGAGAACTGTTCCGAAAGGTGTCTAAGCTCCCCAAGGACGACGAATCATCCGAGTACACAGTGCGTGATGGCCTGCTCCTCCTGAAGAAGGACAGCCGTGTCTGTGTGCCGGACATTCCGTCGTTGAAGACCAAGTTGCTCCAAGAGGTCCACGACTCGCCCCTCGCTGGACACTTTGGAGTCGAGAAGACATACGACCGACTGGCCAAAGTCGCATACTGGCCTGGAATGAAGCGCACCGTCGAGAAGTACATCGAGTCCTGCCATACCTGCAAGATGGTCAAGTCACGCACGACCCGAGAGCAAGGATTGCTGCAACCCCTGCCTGTTCCCGACCGCCCCTGGACCAGCATGTCCATGGATCTCATCACGCATCTACCGACGACCAAGTTGGACCACGATGCAATCGCTGTCTTTGTCGACAGGTTCAGCAAGATGGCACACTTTGTGCCGTGCCAGACGACATGCTCCGCGCCTGACCTTGCACTGCTGTTCTTCAAGCATGTGTTCAAGCACCACGGCCTCCCAAAGTCCATCGTCAGTGATCGAGACCCCCGATTCACCTCCTTGTTTTGGACAAGTCTGTTCGACCATCTCGGCACCAAGCTGAACATGTCAACCTCGCACCACCAACAAACGGATGGACAGTCCGAGCGGACGATCCGCACCCTCGAGCAATACCTGAGGACATACGCCTCGACCAGCCAAGACGACTGGGACATACAGCTGAGTCATGCAGAGTTTGCATACAACACCGCCAAGTCGAGCACAACTGGCTTGAGCCCCTTTGAGGCGCTCTACGGATTCCAGCCTGATGTTCCCACCTCCTTGACACTGACCGAGTCCACGGCTGGATTGCCTCCCAAACCAAGTGCCTTTGTCAAAGATCATCAAGTCCGACACAAGATGATCGCCGACGCGCTCACGGATGCGCAACAAGTGATGGCGAAGTACTACGACCGCCGACACCAGGATGTCTCCTTTGAAGTTGGAGACCTTGTCTACCTGGACGCCGACAACATCAAGGTCCCCGAAGCCCAGTCAAAGAAGTTGTTGCCCAAGTACCGAGGACCGTTCAAGATAGCGGCCCGACCCAGTCCCCTCAACTACCTGTTGGACTTGCCACCTGGAAGCAAGCTCCATCCTGTCTTCCATGTGTCCAAGCTGCGTCGCCACACGACCCGCAGTCCAGCACAGTTCCCCGACGCCGACGAAGGTGTCCCGGACGACGCACCACTGGAAGACGACCTCGGACAATACTATACTCAAGAATATGAAGTCGAAAGGATCGTGAGGCACAAGAAAGTGGCTGATGGGTCACTTCGGTTTTATGTCAAGTGGGTTGGTTACCCACACTCGGGCAACACATGGCAAACACTGGAGGACTTGTCCCATGCACCCGAGGAGCTGAGTAAAT